TGTAAATAGATCTATTCGGGACTGACAATCCCACACCTGAACTGCTAGCTACAGTCAGGCGGGCACGCCTGGGGTGAACAAATGTCATTTAGCTTAACGTCTGAAGAACGTTATAAAGGTCTCTCGGTCATATCAAGTATGGTTATACGACTCACAATTAAGTATAAACTAACTTTGTTTACGGACTCTACCCTTCATGAGTTTTATTTTGAGTAATAAAACTATTTATATATATACAGATAGTATTCAGGGATTTCTAAACTGGCATCTCTACCTCTAGGACGGATAACATGATTTCTAAAAGTGATGGTTTATCTTTTACTAATAGATACTCTTTCAACACTACCTTTCATAAGAAAATATAGGATTTTCTTGAGGAACACTTTTCAAAAGAATCAAAGAACATTTTTCTCATAAAACTAAATGCTTATGAACTCACCAGCTTTATGCTGATATTTTTCAAACTGCTTGTATTCTCAGAGAATTAGTAGACAGGTACTTCCAGGAATTCGGTGAAGCCGGAGCAATAAGAGTCATGTTTTCTATATTATACATACTTTTGATGTATTTAAAACAAGTTTCAAACTGATGTAAACACTTTGCATATTTGTATTCAATGTTTGGTTGTGTTTACTATGCTTGCTATACAAATGTTGTGATACTACGCATGAAGTCCTCCACCCCGGAACGTTTCCGCCATCACGGTTTCGGGGTGTGACACTTTAGCACCATCCATATGGAATTGAGTGAGAAGATTTTGGATATGACGATGTTGGGATAGGAATAGGCCATGAGGAGTGGGAATAGCTTCGATACCAATAAAATGATGTAAGGGTCCCAAGTCTTTTATAGAGAAGCGATTGGCTAGAGTTTTATGAAGGCATCGATAAATGGGTTGTTATTGCCAGTGAGGACAATATCATCTACATAGACTATAAAAAGACATAAGATGTTGTTGTGGTTATAAATGAACAGGGATGCATCAGTTTGAGATTTTCGAAATCCACAAGAGAGAAGGAATGTAGTGAGTTTGATATACCAAGCCCGTGGAGCTTGTTTCAGACCGTAGAGAGATTTTCGAAGTTTGCAGACATGTTTTGTGAAGTTAGGATGAATAAAACCAGGTGGTTGGGTCATGAAGACTTCTTCATGAAGTGTACCATGAAGGAAAGCGTTGTTTACATCGAGTTGGCGAAGGTTCCAATTATGAGAAAGTGCAAGAGAGAGAATGACACGAATGGTAACAGGTTTTGCAACTGGACTAAAGGTATCAAAGTAGTCTTTACCATGTTGTTGAAGGAAACCTTTTGCTACTAAACGGTCCTTATATTTTGAAATTGTACCATCCGGATTTCGTTTGACTCGAAAGACCCACTTACAGCCGATTGGAGTATGGTTGTTAGGAGGAACTAGTTCCCAGGTTCCATTTTGCATAAGAGCATTGAACTCTTGATCCATTGCATGACGCCACTTAGGATCTTTGAGGGCTTGATTGTGTGTGTTTGGTTCAATTATTGTGGGTATAGGATGAAGTGTGGTAGTATTGACAAAGGAATCGTTGAAATATTTGGAGTTTTTCTTGCGTGGGCGGGCTGTATGTGAGGGTGAAATGTCTGGAGTGGGTACAGCATCAGTGTGAGATGATGCAGGTGAGTTCTGAGTAGATGATGAGATCGATGGCTGGGCTGATGTTGGGGTTTTCGAGGATACAGGAGATGGTGAGGTAGTATCTGTTGTGACCGAGGGGTTGGAGTTAAAATTTGGAGCTTGTGGTGGTGATGTGAGCTGATTTTGTGGAGAGTATGAATCGATGTGAGTGGGATCAGATTGCTGTGGAGGTTGTGGTATGGTGGAGGTGAGTATATGAGATGGTGAGGGTGCATCGTTGTTGCTATTAGGAATAGGGATGGATGTTGGTGATAATGGAGAGGGCTGATGTTGGGAGTGAGTCATGACAAAGTGATCAGGTGTAGGTAAAAATAAGTCTGATGGGGAGAGGGACGAAAATTGATTATCGATGAATTGGACATGACGGGAATGGTACAATCGAGAGGTGAGGGGATCATAACACTTATAAGCAGATTTTGAGGTGGAATAACCAAGGAATAAACATGGAGTAGAGCGTGGTTGGAGTTTGGAGGTGGTGTAAGGGCGTAACCAGGGGTAACATAGGCAGCCAAACGACTTAAGTTTGGTGTAATTTGGAGTTTGACCAAATAGTTGATAATATGGAGTGTGATTTTGGATGGTAGGGGTTAGTAATCAATTTATTAGGTAGACTGCGGTTTCAAAAGCGTGTGACCAGAAGGTTAACGGGAGTTTAGCATAATGAAGGAGAGATAGCCCGGTTTCAACTATGTGGCGATGACGCCTTTCAGCAATGCCATTTTGTTCAGGGGTGTGGGGTGGAGTGGTGTAGTGGGATATGCCATGTGTTTTAAGGAATGAGGTGAGACCAATGTACTCATCACCATTATCACTAAACAACGATATAATGGCTGTTTGAAGAAAGGTTTCAACTAGAGTTTTGAATTGAGGGGAGATGGTAGTAACATCTGATTTCTTTTTCATGGGGTAGAACCACACATATTTAGAGAAATAGTCAACAAAAATGACATAGTAGGTGAATTTGTTAATTGAGGTTTGGACAGGTCCCATACATCAGTGTATAGTAGTTGCAATGGTTTAGAAACAACAAAAGAATTGGAGCCAAATGGCAATTTGTGACTTTTATTGATTGAACAAGATGAACAATGCATATTGGAAACTGCAGAACTAAGGCCTAACTTAGAAAGAAGACATTTAAACACTTTGGTGGATGGATGTCCTAAGGTATGATGCCAATGACAAGAGGATGTTTTTATAGTGAAGTGAAGCTGCGGATTGGATGATAGCTTTGCATAATAAACGTCTTCAAAGTTCTCCCCCCGCATGAGAAGCGCCCCCGTGCGAAGATCCTTCACAATAAAAGAATGGGGAAAAAATTTAACAGAACCCCTTTGGCAACAGAAATAAGGTTATTTTTTAATTGTGGAACACATAACACATTTGGAAGATTAAGTGTTTTAGATGATGTGTGTATGTGTTTGGAACCAACATGGGAAATTTGTAAAGTTTTACCATTCCCAAGAACTATTTCATCTGGACCGCCATAATCTAAGACGCGTTGGAGATTGGAACTATCACCTGTGACGTGATTAGACGCACCACTATCGAATAACCAGGGTGGAGATACGGTAGAGGAGCCGGTCATGGTTACATTGGCCACTGGTGGAGCTGTCTGCAGATTGTTAAGGACAACATTGTTCTCTCGGAGAAATCTAGCGAGTTTTCGGCAATCACATGGGCCTGGGATGTTACAAAATTGACAAAAGGTGTTGGATTTGTTTTGACGGTTACCACCAGGATTTGAGGACCAATTGGGGCGATTGGTGGGACCACGTTGTTGCTGATTTGAGGAGCGATTGTTTGAGCCGCCACGCTGGTAAGTGGAATTGTCTTGTCTTCCATGTGAGCGATTGGATTGCCGAGAGGTATAGTTAACTGTGGTAATTACAAAAGTAGTGGAGGTTGTGTGTTCCTTTAGGGCACGCTCAAAGTCAGTCAATTTATCAAATAATTCAGAGTGTGAGAGTGGGTTTTCATGTATCTTGATGGTAGCAACAATGGTGCCATATTCATCACCTAGTTGAGATAGAATGTGAAGGAGTAGGTCTTCTTCTGTGACAGGGCTCTGTGCAAGAGCTAGGTCATCTGCAATTGACCGCATATCTTGGAGGAATTCAGCAATTGATCGATTGCCCTTTGGATTTTTTACAAGTTTTGATTTTAGAGATATGACTCTAGATCTAGAGGCACTTGCAAAGCTGGCTGTGAGACGCTCCCAGGCTTCTTTAGATGTGGTGGCAGACGAAATTAAGGGTTGAATTGAGTCAGAGCAGCAGCCAAGAATGGCGCTGATGATGGTTTGATCTTGGCGATACCAGGTGAGATATTCTGGGTTTGTTTTTGATGTAGAGTTGTCTTTGTCGCTCAAGAATTTGCTTGGAGGTGGCTGATCACCGGTAATGAAAGTATCAAGATCAAGCCCAATTAGGGTGGCTTCAACTTGACGTCTCCAGACAGGAAAATTATTGGAGGTGAGTTTTATTGGGAAGTGAGTGGCAGCGGTGACTTGGATTGTGGTTTTGGCCATTGCGTGTGAAAGAGAAAATAAGATGAAGATGAGTCAGAGGTGTAGGATCAACTCGTTGGAGCAATTGAAGCTCTGATACCATATAAAGGTATTGAGTTGAATGTTTATTCGATTGTTTTTTTATATGTAAAATCAGAGAAGGCTTTATAGCCGTGATACAACAATTGACTAGGAGCTAAAATAGGAGATAGAATCGGTAAACTATTTGACTATATATTTACAATGGTATCTAAAATAAATACTATAATTAAATCCTTTAGATTTAATTATCCATGTGCCTTAATAGGAAAGAGATAATCTATTCTAATTACAGAATTAAGGTCTAAAAATACATCTAATATAATGGCAATTAGAGAGCTAATTTAGGCCAATATACAACTGTTAAATATAGCAGTCAACAGCTGTATAAGGTACAGCTGTAATATTTCCAACAAAATGTGTAGGACCTATTTACACGTATACTTGTGAATATAGATGTAGATGTAGGTTTGCACATTATGCTTTTTCATCTTCTACCATTACCCTCATAGACATAACATGAGAGGATTAGATATGACATGTATCTTGTTAGTAGTATGTAGTCATAGACATAACATGAGGGGATTAGATATGACATGTATCTTAATTAGTAGTCTGTAGTCAACCAAGTTAACTAAAATGGGTTAAAAGTCCAGTATTACCATTTACAGGATGGATATGTTTCTTTGCAATATTTATTTCACTTTATCAATTATTATTCCCAGTTCCAGTTATACTTTATTTACTAGCCACTTTAATCTAAGCTTGAGATGTTTAACCTCAGGTTATGCGGTTGACCTATACAAATTCTGGCTTATCTTTGCTTGCACTTGCTTCAAATGGCGTTCATAAACTCTGGAAATGGCAACAAAGTGAACTCAATCCATCTGGGAAGGTATTGTGGGCCGGATAAACATTCTCTAGATTTTACATATATTTGTACTTATTGAATTCTGATTGTTCTCTTGTACACATACAGTCGACTGCATCTATTGTCCCACAATTGTGGCAACCAACACATGGAGCTCTCATGTCTAATGATGTCAATGAGAGTAAACCTGCTGAGGAGTCAGCAGCATGCATTGCTTTGTCCAAGAATGATTCTTATGTCATGTCTGCATCTGGTGGGAAAGTCTCCCTGTTCAACATGATGACTTTCAAGGTATATCTGCATTGTTTTTTATCGTCTGTTAACTAAAAAAATAGACATGTTTATATAATTTTATTATGCAATTCTGAAATACCAATATGGGAATGTGTCACACTGCAGGTCATGGCAACTTTCATGGGTCCTCCCCCTACAGCTACATACTTGGCTTTCCATCCACAAGACAATGATATTGCTGCGATAGGAAGGGAAGATTCAATTATACAAATTTACAATGCAAGACTTGATGAGGTAACTGATGTTGCTTTTTGTTGAGCAGTTTTATATAATTTGCATATATTGTGGCAATCTTCACAACTTAGAAGATTACATTTTGTTGAATTGTAACCTCTTATGATGGTTTTGATAGGTCATAATCGAACTCAGAGGTCATCAGAAACAGATTACAGGACTTGCTTTCTCACGGACTTCACTTGTTTCATCAGGAGCTGATGCTCAGGCAAGTGTGGGGAATGGTGTACACTTTATTTTCTGTTTCTTGTAAGACAGTATTTTCCTTTACTGATTGTTCTAACTTCTAATACAATGTTTGTATGTTTTGAGTGGATATTCAGCTATTTATCTGGGATCTTATTGGATGGGAGGAGAAGAAATCAAGAAGCATACAGTCGCCACCTGGTCATCCTTCCTCTCTGATTGGAAAAACTACAGTTCAATTCCACAATGATCAACTTCATCTTCTTGTGGCACATGAAAGTCAAATTGCTATTTATGACCACCAACTGGAGTGCTTGAGATTGGTAAATACACAGATATCATACCTTACCTAGTTTTAGAAATTGCTATATATGATCACCAAAAAATAATGTAGTTTCATCTTCTGTTTGAGGATAATATTGGTTCATTGATTTAACCTTTTTGCAGTGGTCTCCAACAGCACCATCTGAAAATCCTGAAGTTTGCTCAAACAGAAGATGAAACTACATTATTTTTTGGACTCCTCTGTCGCAAGTTGGGGATCATATATAGCAATTTCTCAAACAGAAGATGAAACTACATTATTTTGCTTTCTGCCTTTTTGCAAGTTGGGGAGAAGGCAGAAAGCAAACCTCATCGGATGGCTCTTGCCCTTAAGTTTGCTTTCTGCCTTCTCCCCAACTTGCCTCTTCCTTAGATCTATTTTCCGAGTCAGTCGGAATAGGCTCCGTCCGCCGTAGCTCGTGCCCTCTTTCTTTCTCGCTGCTTTTCTTTGGACTCCTCTGTCGCCAACTTCATGATAGTCGTCGCCCGCCGCTGGCCGCCGCTTCTTCTTTCTCCTTCTCCAACGAGTAGATGTTGTTAGCCGTCATCGTTAGAGCTCTGCCACCGTCGCTGCCGCTGTCTTCATTTATGTTATGTTTTATGTTTTTGTTTTTCCAGTTTAATCGTCCTCTCCCGATCAAATTGTGGGGGGATGTAAGTGATTAGGGTTTAGGCCCAAGCCTTTTAGGATTTAGATTAGGTCTCTTATGTAACCCTATTTATATGAGGTTTAACCTCACAATTTATCAATGAAGCATTCTATTCTATATCACCTCATTTATGCGGACTTACAAACCAACAACCATCAAATACCATTGTGCTAACTTTCTTATGTGAACCACATGCTTATAGGTTGGAACAAGAATCTTCTTTTTTATTCAATATGAAATATTTTGAGGAACAAGTTCAAGCTGGTGAATGGGATGAGGTTGAGAAATATCTATGTGGGTTTACAAAGGTTACAGACAATCGTTACTCAATGAAGATATTCTTTGAAATAAGGAAACAAAAGTACCTTGAAGCTCTTGATAGGCAAGAGCCTAATATTTATATCTCACACCATTTTACTCTTTTTATTGACATTTGCGTTGCTAATATCAGGAATGACAGAGCAAAAGCTGTTGAAATTCTTGTAAAAGAATTGAAGGTCTTTTCCACTTCTAATGAAGAGGTCTTCAAAGAGATCACACAGCTACTAACTCTTGACAATTTTAGGTATTGCTGTGAACACTCAGTATGGAATTTTGCAAGTGTCTCTAGGTGACATTGTTATTTTTGGTTGAACTTATTGTTTTTGTGATGTGTGATTAGGCAAAATGAGCAGCTTTCAAAGTATGGGGACACCAAATCAGCACGAAGCATTATGTTGGTTGAACTGAAAATCCTTATAGAAGCAAACCCTTTGTTTAGGGAGAAGCTAACTCTTCCTATATTTAAAGCTTCACAACTGCCGACATTGATAAATCAAAGGTCATGAGCCCTCTGCATTCTTAAATATTGTTACTTTATTTTACCATGTGGGCCCTCCCCATTTAAGTTAATCCCCTTTTTCTCCTTTTGTGGTTTTATTGCTAATCTGCTATCAGATTGGTCTTTCTTTTAATATAAAATATAAAAGGTGTATTAATTGACGAATGGTTGCTTTCTTAGGGGCTATTTTTTTATTTTTTTTGTTTTTCTCTCCATCAAGTCCTGTATGGGTAAAGTGTCCAAATTGGTAATTATGTAATTCTGGATTAAGTTTTGTATACATAAGAACTGTTTCTTTTCTAGACTAAATAAACCGTCTAAACGAGACTAAATAGCCATTTTACCTGTAGTGAGCTGGTAGGAAAAGAGAAGAAAGAAAAATAGGTAAATTCTAGTGTCTTAATGCATTAAGTCAGGTTTTTTTTTTGGCTTAACTCATTAGGTCATTCTATCTAGATTAAGCCAAAAGGAAACACTCATGTATAAGCTGTCCAGATTTCAAGAGCTTAAATCATTAAGCCCATTAAGTCGCAAAGAAACAACCCCTTATGCCCTTACTTAACATAAAAACTATTCTTTCTCTATTTTCTCTTGTTCTTTTATACACTGTTCTTACTTCAGGGTTTCTTATACACTTCTTTTTCAGTCTTAATTGGCAACATCAACTTTGCAAGAATCAATGCCCCAATCCTGATATCAAAACTATTTTTATTGATCATATGTGTGCTTCTAATAATTATCTATGTGGGTTTACAAATGTTTGTAGGTTGGAACAAGAATCTGCTTTTTTCTTCAATATGAAATATTTTGAGGAACAAGTTGAAGCTGGTGAATGGGATGAGGTTGAGAAATATCTATGTGGGTTTACAAAGGTTGATGACAATCGTTACTCAATGAAGATAGTCTTTGAAATAAGGAAACAAAAGTACCTCGAAGCTCTTGATAGGCAAGCCTAATTTTATATTTATATTTAACATCATTTTATTCTTTTTATTGACATTTTGAGTTGCTAATATCAGGAATGACAGAGCAAAAGCTGTTGAAATTCTTTTAAAAGATTTGAAGGTCTTTTCGACTTTTAATGAAGAGCTCTACAAAGAGATGACCCAGCTACTAACTCTTGACAATTTTAGGTATTGTTATGATTATGAACACTGACTATGGAATTTTGTGAGTGTTATTATTAGTTGACAATGTTGTTTTTCTGATGTTTAATTAGGCATAATGAACAGCTTTTAGAGTATGGGGACACCAAATCAGAACGGCGCATTATGTTGGTTGAACTGAAAAAGCTTATAGAAGCAAACCCTTTGCTTAGCGAGAAGCTAACTCTTCCTGTATTTAAAGCTTCACAACTGCCGACATTGATAAATCAAAGGTCATGAGCCCTCTGCATTCTTAAATATTGTTACTTTGTTTTACCATGTGGGCCCTCCCCCTTTGATTAAATCCCATTTTTCTCCATTCGTGGTTTTGTTGTTATCAAGTCATATTCTTGCTAATTGTTGGAACAAAACTACAGACATGGTTGCCAAAACACAACACAAATCTGCTATCCTAAAGTGAAAAACGAAACAGGGAAAAAAGAGGGTGTTTGGGACTCATTTTCTGTGTATTCCTCATGCAAATAAAAGTTCCGACTACAAGACTATAAATAACAAAAAATACCTAGAAACTAGGACCACTACTACTAACAAACCACTATTTTATTTGACTCCTAAAATTACTGGAAGACCAAATCAAATACACCAATGACCAACCAAATAAAACTAAAATGCCCCTAAATAAAACATGTGGCTTTGACCTGGTTTGGATTAACACCAACCATCCTATCAAATTGCTCTTTCTTTTAATATAAAAATTCAAAAGGTGTATTAAAGAATGGTTGGTTTCTTAGGGTTTTTTTTTCTCGGTTAATTCCTGTATGGTTAATGATGTCAATATCGATAAAGTTTTGTATACATAAGAACTGTTTCTTTTCTAAATTGAATAAATCGTCTAAACGAGACTAAATAACCATTTTATCCTTACATTCCAAAAAAACAAATTTCATAGTAGTTATTGATTTTAATGTGAGAGGAGTTGGCTTAACTTATTAAGTCTTAATACGTTAAGTCAGGTTTTTTTTTTGGCTTAACTCATTAAGTCATTCTATCTATATTATGTAAAAAAGAAACAGTTATGTATAATCTGTCCATATATAAGACCTTAAATCATTAAGCCCATTAAGTAAAAAAGAAACAACCTCTTAGCCCTTACTTAACATAAACACTATGTTTTCTCTATTTTCTCTTGCTCTTTGTGCACTCTTCTTTTTCAGTCTTAATTGGCAACATCAACTTTGCATGAATCCACGCCCCAATCCCGATATCAAAACTCTTTTTATTGATTATATGCATGCTAATAATTATTTGGCAAACTAAAAGGTGATAGTTGGGTGAATTTTGGCAGCAGCTATAGCAGGGCATATCCGGCAGTGATTGCATCACATCCATCGGATCCAAACCAATTTGCTCTTGGAATGAGCGATGGTTCTGTCCACGTCATCGAGCCAGCCGATGCTGATCCAAAGTGGGGTGGATCAACGTCTCAGGATAATAATGCGGCTTTACCTTTACCATTACCATCTTCTAATCCTTCAAATTCTGCTTTGAATAGTCAACCATTAGATAAGCAAGGTACATAACATAACATAATAGTTCTTTATTTTTGTTTATTTTTTATGATGGGGTTTAGACTCGATAGACGCCTCTCAAGGGTTTGCGTAGTATTGTAAATTTTAGATTATAACTACCTCAATGGTTTCAATGAGTTGTTTTTATTTTATTTTTTTTAATCTTGATCTTTGTCTTGGTTGATGTTTTTTTTTTCTCTGACTTAATTTAATGGGGATGAAACGAAATCTTGAAACCTATATATGATTGTTTTTTTAGGTTTATGTAGAAGGAACGAGTTAATAGAAATAATATGTGGTGTGCTTCTTTAACAATATGCCGACTACCGTTCGAATCTAACAAGCTTTAAAAAAAAAAAAATCTGCATTTTTTTGTTGTATGCTGGTAATAGACTAATAGTACATTTTGCAGTGATGTGACAAATTGATTTTGTTTTTCCATGTTGGATAAGGTGGAATGATTGATGATATAATAAAAAGGAAGGTTAAAATTACAGGGGAACTTATGTGATCGGTGTATAATTGCCACTATGGAATTTTGGCAACATTGAATGTGTTTTTGACAACTTCATTGATACAAAATATGGGGGTGTTCGAGAGTGTGTTTCAAAATGTCTTGTTGACTTAATCATGAGTTTTCAAGAAATAACTCCTCACTAAGGGGGTGTTTGGATTTTTGTGTTTTAAAACAGCTTATTGACTAATAAAAAGGACTTTCTGAAACAACTTCTCACCACTAATAAGCTGATTTTGAGAAGTCATTACACTCTAAGTTATTGAAAATGAAAGGACAATAATTGCCACTCTTTTACGCATATCCACCATTAATATTGACGGTACTATCTCATCACCACATCCAATCATTAAACTCATGGTATACCTATCATTAAAATACAACTTCATATATATTTTTTAATTAAATTTAATTTAAAAATACAATAAAACATCATTTTTTAAAACTATTTTTCCATTCAATAAAAAAGAGGTTACATTAATTTAAAAATAAACAACTTAAAATAAAATGCAATAAAACATAAAAATTTCAAACATAATAAACTATCCCTACTTTATTTTTTAAACTACCACCGTCATTTTGGGGAATCTTTTAACTTTAGCCAAGCTTTGAGATGTGGAAAATGTTTGTGTCTTGCTTTTGAAACGACAAAAAATTACGAGGTAAAAATTTCATTTTTAATTCAACCAAAACATTTATTATCTTTGTTGGGCTTATAGTGTTGCGTCATGGGCTCGGTCCTTAGCCCAGTTTTGATTGCCGGTGTGGGCCTGTCCAACCGTGCATGTTTTCACTAGGGTTTAGTATTTAAGCTGCATGCATGCAGCCTTTGGAAGAAAACGCTTTTATTATTATTCTTATTGAGTATTGTAAACCCTAGCTCGCCTCTACAGTGGAAGTTCTTCATAGAGCTCTGCTGAGGCGTGACTATATTTGAATCATAAGCATAACGTTGATTCTGTTCTGTGTTCTTAATATTATTGTGTTTGTCTTGTTTGATCTTCGTCTTTTACCTGTGAAAGATCTAATCGATCTGAGATTTATTCTCATCAATTGGTATCAGAGCGGGAGACTGTGTAATTCATACACATCTCTTCTGTCGAAGAAGTTATTAGGGTTTTTCCGCATTGATTGATATTAATTGAGCCGTCATTCTATATTGGCGTATCTCATTAATTGTCAATCTTTCTCTAACGATAAATTACAAGTCTGATCTTAAACAGGTTATCGATCAAACTTCATCACAATGTCCATGGATGATTCGCAAACTAATCCAATTAACATCTCCAACAGTATCGGATCAACGACAAGGATTCCAATCTTGTACACTCAGGATTATGAGGTTTGGACGCACCACTTTGAAGATTATGTGATTGGCTCAGAAGATAATGGGTATTTGATCTGGGAAGCTATCACAATTGGCCCATTTGCTCATTCAAGTACCTCAAGGATTGTTAAAACTCAAAAGGAGTACAATCAGCTTGTTAGTGATGTGAAAGATATTCCTCAAGACGAGAAAGAAAAGTTTAAATGTAACATTAAAGCCTTAAGAATGATTAGGTTTGCATTGCAGTCCAATACGTTTCGTCTGGTGAATTCCTGCACTACAGCTAAAGAGATATGGGACAAACTAAAAGAATTGTATTCCACTGACGCAGATCTAGAACATTCGATACAGACTTTGCTGCTTTCTGAATTTGGTGATTTCAAATAAAAGCCGGAAGAGAAACTTATTCAGACTTTTGATCGCTTTAATCATCTTTTAAGTAAGATGATAAAGCATGGGATCGAAAGGAAGGTTATTGAACAGAAGGTCACATTCATGAACGGTCTAAGACCCGAATGGATGGCAGTTGTGTCAACAGTAAAGGCACATGAACAGTTTAAATCGTATTCTCTGGCGAAACTGGTGGGAATTTTGAAATCCCATGAAAGTGCACTGACTAAGGAAACGAATGTGGTTTCTAGCTTAGGTTCGTTAGCCCTTGTTTCTAGAGAAAAAAATTCCGTTGAAGAAGAAGAGGAATTGGATTTTGCCGACTATGATCTAACCGGTGAAGAGTATGCCCTAATGGTGTCCAATCCTAGAAAGTTCATTAAAAGAAAGTTCCCAGCCAACAAGAACCGAAACTGGCAGGGAAGTTACAACGCTGAAAAGGTTAAGGAGGAACCGAAGATAGTATCGAAGTCAGAAGAGTCCAAGAAAGAAGTGAAAAATGGTGGAGACTCAGGATTTGATTGCCATTACTGTGGAGGCAAGAATCACTTTGCCAAGGACTACATGCTGAAAAAGAGGGCAGAAAAGACAGATGATTATGATGAGGAAGCGAGCCTCCTGAGACGACCGGAGGAAATCAAGAAAAGAAAGTCTGCTGCTAACAATAAAACTATGAATGCTTTGATTGTACAGGATACAGGCAATAGTGACGAATTTGGTGGCGTGGAAGTATGGTCCATAGACTCAGAGGACGAAGAAGTAAGAAGATCCACTCATGGCAAGGCGATGCTGGTAAAAGAAGAACACACTGCTGGAAGGTGTTTCATGGTGACCGAAGGTGTATCCCAGATGAGAGGATATACAACTGATGGAGGAATAGAAGGCGAGAAGGAGCGAGAGGACAGGTGTTTTGCTGCGAAACCTGTTAGTGCACAGATCAACGAATGTGATGAGTTGATCAAGAAGGTACAAGATATTCTTGCTTCTCTAAAATTACCTGTTACTAACTATGAAAAGGAACTAAATAGCTTGAAATCTAAATTTTCTAGTATAAGTAGCAGTCTTTCCCAAACCCGTGTCACAAACTCTAACCTGACTGATCAACTTAGCAGGGTATCGTCGAAGAGTGAGGAAAGGAGGATGTGGATTGAGCTGAAGGAGAAAGAGTTGGTTAGGTCTAAGGATGAGTCAATTTATTTGCAAAGAGACAATCTTAAACTTTTAAAACAACGAAATGTGTTTTGTTTGATTGCTAAAAGACTTTATTTTAATATCACTAAGTTGCATCTCGATTGTGAAATAGGAAAGAATATACATCGCATGATTTTGCCCTTCCTTGAGTTAAAGGAGGATGAAATCGATGCTGAAGCTTATAACTGTGAAAGCGTGGTATCCTCTGATGAGATCTCACCTACATACAAATTCGGTCTTGACAAAATTGAGTTCTACATTAAGTCCAAGGACCATAAGGACATGCTCAAAAATCTGTTAGATGAGAATGATAGATTGAAGATAAGAGCCGAAACGGTACAGAAATTTGACTCGTTGAATGCCAAACTAAGTTCAGAAAATAAAATTGATGTTGAAAATACATCTGAACTTAATGAGGATGATGATCTGAGTGAAATCTCTGTAGAGGACGTGGTAGACTGTTCTGAGTTTGTCAAGAGCGAACCTGAAATCCACAAAAATCTGATTTTTAAAATTCAGTTGAATTTGCTCGTCTATCCAAAGACAAGACCAAAGTCCTTAGAGAAAAAGCCGTTGTGTATCAAAAGGTACAATCTACTCCAAATCAGGTATACAAAGTTAATGGAGTAACTCAGCAACAAACAGCCGAACTGACGGCGATAGTAGCAGAAGATAATGCTGACGGATATGATGAATTCTTCTGGTCAGCACCTATTGACAATGCTGATGAAACAGTAGGTCTGTCACAGAAGACCACATGGAGAGTGAGAGGCAGATATATAGCCGAACCACTTAATGATCCTACTCGTTTTGATGAGCCGAGCACAAGTGGGACTAAAAAGTCTTCAGATGAGCAAGTGGTTATTTCAAGCGAAACCAATTCACCTAGGTGCAATGTTAATACTCAAAGTTCTGAGAAAAAGGCTAACATTCACAGAAACCCAAAACAGGTGAGAGAAAGAAAGCATCAAAGAAATGTGAGGTACAAGAAAAACCTTACCGAAAGGAAGCAGTTCTGGAGATCTCAAAATCCTAATTATGTTCACTATGAAAAATCTTCTAAACAAAAAGAGGTAAGGAACCGAAAGGGTAGTTTCGGTCCCTCGACTGAAGTGAACCGAAAGGGTAGTTTCGGTCTCTCGACTGAAATGAACCGAAAAGATGGTTTCAGTCCCTCGTCTGAAAGGAACCGAAAGGAGAGTTTTGGTCCTCAGCACCACATCAACCGAAAGAACGGTTGCGGTTCTCAACCCAATAGCAACCGAAAGAAGGGTTTCGGTCCTCAACCCAATAGCAACCGAAAGAACGGTTTCGGTCCTCAACCCAATAACAACCGAAAGAACGGTTTCGGTCCTCAACCAAATGGCAACCGAAAAAGAAGTTTCGGTCCTCAACTCTGCAAGATCAATCAAACGAAGAGAAGATCCTATGTCACTTCCAAATCTAACTCTTCTCATTCCAATTCTTCCACAGACTTAAAGGGGAAAGGAAAGCTCTTTCCAGAAGATGACATCTCATATCCTACCCCTATCGAATCTAAGTCAAACAAAATTAAAGTTTTCACTATAAAAAGAAAAGATGAAACAACTT